CTACTTGCTTGCTACTTGCTTTTGACCCAAGGCTTATTAAGTTCATTAAAACTCTGTTAAGATGGCAATCAGCCTATGCAGGATTTTACGTATAGCCTGTTAGAGTCAATGATACCTCCAAAACTTCTATTCAAATTCATTTTGGAAGGCCCATACTGGGGAGAAGGAGTAAAGAACTTTAGCCTCAAGCAAAGGTTCAAGTTTAAGTCGGGTGGCATTCAACAATGAGCCTGGGAAGAGAGCTGGGGTCAGATTATAGAGAGCTCTGTGCATTTGAGAAGGGCATAGGATGATCAGACCTGAGATTTGGGACAGTAACTCTCCAGCTTACCTGAGCATCTTCAAACCATCTTAGCCTTTCACCAGAAAGACAGAATCTGTTGCTTTGGCACCTGAAATTCTGATTCAGAACCTCTGCAGTGGGACCCAGGGAATCTGCATCTTTAAACAAAACACATCAGGGAGGATTCAGAGGTCATACATCCATGGATTAGGTTTGAAGACACAGTAATTTTAGGAAGATGAGTGTGATAGTCAAGAAAGAGGCTGAGGATAGAATACTTAGGAAGACATTGTGACCATCCAGGTAGGCAACAGAGAAACCTGACCTTGAGTGGGATTGCTGGGAAACCAAAACAGTGGCCATCCTGCCAAGTGTCTGAGAGTTTGGGGAAAGTGTGCTTTCAATGGCACTGGGCACTGGGGAGCTTTTGGAAGCTACTGATCCTGTTATGTCAAGATCATTCTTGATAAATTCTATTTATGTGGACTAGTCAGTGCTAAGGCTCTTTATTTTAAACTTCCTTCCTACATTTTCAGCTTTGCGAAGCCTAAACCGCCTCTGATCAGATTCCGTCTTTGACATGTGAGCCCAAGGACGTTGGTGGGCATCTGATCCTGTTCTTGCTAGTTTTGGGGACAGAAGACCTCTTTCAGGACTGGGAAAAAGGCACTCTCATGTTTGAATCAATCCATGGAAAGGCCAGTTAGAATTGGCTCCAACTGGCTGGTTAGGCCCTCTCAAGCTGTGGTACTCTCTTTTAAGACTTGACAATACCTCTCAGGTATTCTTAAGTCACATGAAATCCAGTAGAGCATTTTCAAAACACAGAAACTGTTAAACTTTTCTTAGGCCCAGTTAGGCATCATTAAATCTGACCAAGATTAGTGAAGTCACAAGATTTAACCCGGTATAATGAGAATCGAATTTATACAACTTAATGAGACTTGATGAGGGTCACTGAGCCATATCCTGCCCCGAAGGCAACAAGATCAAAATTTAAAAAATTCAAATGGGAGAGAAGCAAACTATTCTTTTTCCTTTTCTTTTTTTAAAGTGAAGTGAGAGCTACCTGAATTTACTTGTGGCCTCTTTCCCTCAGGGCCCTTCGTGACTGCCAATCTGATGAACTAGTATGTGCTAATTTTTAATGGTTTACTCTCCCTCCTCCCTCCTAGGAGGCATATATGCATTTTAGTATGGTCTTCTGGAAGGCTGCTCTACACTCTCAGGGCCGAGTTCCGAGTGTGGGAATTCCAGGCGCTAACCCAGATCTGTGAGGGAGGCAGCTAGACCTTTGGGGGCTCTCAGATCTCATGGTGCAAACAAGCCCATACTCCGGCAATGTTGGGTGGAGAGTGGGTGGGAAAGGAAGGGGGCTGGTGGTGAGTCATTCTTGGCTAAGTGCAATAAAGTAGGTCCCATATCAGCCAGGGACATTAGATAATGCATTTTCATCGCTGGAGAGAGTACTGATGACTCACTTGGCATTTTGCGGATTAGCTCTTTGAGAATGCTTCTGTCACTGGCTACATTCAAAACTCAAAAGTAAACCTGAAGATAGGTATTGATACATTCAATAACTATGTACTATGTATTTTTATAGTTTTAGAAAAGTGTCTTTAAAATTAGTCACAATAGGACATATATTACTTTTTGTTTTTATTTTCTTGCCAATATTTTCAGTTCTTGATCTCAGAATCAGTCTTTAGCTATTAAAGACGTGGGCATTCATCAGACATCTTGCCTTCATCCTAATGGCCATAATCATGATAATGATAAACACTATCAAGCCCAGAGAAGGCTCATTCTGTGTCAGGCACTCAGAATTCGAAGTGCTTCGCAAATATGAACTCAGCTAATTCTCACAACCCTCTGAAGATGGAGCTATTTTTCCCTAGTTACAGGTGAGGAAACTGAGGCATGGAGAGGTTAGTGACTTCCCCAAGGTCACAGAGCTGCTAAGGGGTGAGGCTGGAATCTGAAGCCAGGCTGTATGGACTCAAAGCTCACACTTGCAGCCTAAACACCAGCAGTAGTCAGTTTGGGGGCTTGGGTCAACCATCCACTGTATTCCAGCTTTGGAAGGAAACCATGATTCACTGTTGAGCTTTAAAAGAAAAAAGAAATCGAGTAACAATGAGAACAATATGGTTTCATTTTTATCAATATTATGTTTGTATGCAAGAGGCAGAGAGGGAAGGAAAAAGGGAGAGAGGAAGAGATTAGACTTGATTAGATGTGGAATAAGACATGCACGTCTGGAAGAAATCACATAATTACACTAGCTATTTTATTTGGGGGTAATGCGAGTTGTGTAGGTCAATTCACTTTTTTACTTTACATACTTCTACACTGTTTTAATTTTTAACAAGCATGTGATCACACACACTGAAAAGCTAATTAAGCTTTTAATTATCCTCTCTGACCTGGCATTTGGTTTTTGCTAATCCTGAGAGGAAAGGTCACTCAGAATTCTCTGTTCTCAGGTCTAGTGCAGCAACTTTCACATAGTAGGTATTCCATAAATGTTGTTTGTGGTGGTATTACTGGGAAGTATGTTCTGTGAATCACACCTCTCTATTCTCTCAGACTCTGCCAAGATTTCGCTTTTTAGGAAATTTTGATTGGCTCTCTACCTCAGGGGTTGATGACTTTTTTTATCTCAAGGGCAAGAAAATAAGTAGTTTAGGTTTTTCAGGTCTTAAGATCTCTGTTGCAACTACTTCCTGGGCAGTGTGAGAGCAGCCAGAGGAAATATGTAAAGAAATGGGCATGGCTCAGTTCCAATAGTTTTATTTACAGAAGCAGGTGGAGGGCTGTGCTTGGCCTCAGGTCTGTAGTTTTTGGCCCCTGGCTCCAGCTGCTCAGAACACTGTCATCTGCACTGAGAAACAGCTGATTTGCTTTGTTTTCAAGGTAGTTTTCTCCCACACTCTGAGGGCTTTGCACATCGGTGAAGGTCTGACTCATATGTTATAAACTTACTTCAGAATTTTTCAGTATCAATCTCATTCTTTGGACATTTAAAACTGTCAGGTCACCTCCTTCTTCCCATTTGAGAGATTCAATTGCCTTACTCCACAGTCCCCTGGGATTATTTTTGGAGGCAGCATGCACTGTGCTTCTGTGTCTTGTTGCACTTTTTACCAAACACCCAGTTGTTGTTGGTTGGCTTAGTTTAATCCCTCGTGGAGATGAGAGAAGGAACTCTGCAGGAGGAGGCAAGAACGCTGTGGGTTGCCCACTGCCACCCTGAACTTCCCTGTTGGTCTCTTCCAGGCCTCAGGCACGGGGAGAAGGAAATCATCCCTCCAAGTGTCATGGCTCTGTCAGACCTCCCAGCCCTCAAAGTCAGGCTTCCCGCTTTTAGCTGGTTCTAACTCCTACTGAGAATCCTGAGGAACTGAGTCAGTTAGTTATTTCTTCCTTACAGCTCCCCTGTGGGCACCTCAGGAGCCCAGTTCCTTAGCAGCCAACCCTGATCTGTGTCTGAAGCATAATATTCATCCGTCTTCTGCCTTCTCCCCGCTTCAGTTAGAGTGCTTTACTCTCCAGGAGTACCTCCCCAAGGGACAAGGGAAAGGAAACAACTTTATTTCCTAAATATTTCAAGTTCTTGGCCTCCATGTTCCTGTTCACAGTTCCTCTAAGGGGCCATAGGACCCTTCTACAATCAGGACCTTTGGCCACCCAGTTATTAATAAGCAGTTGATGGGCAAAACCTCCTATGGTTAAATAGTTTATATATAGTATATTGGAATATAATATATGTTATACTGAGTATAGCGAAATCCCCCATGTTTGTAGCTTTCTTCCTTCTAGTCCCATGGAACTGATACCTAAATTCTCTTGTGAAAGGGCAAGGATGAATCATCCCCATTCGCAGTCCTAACCACAAGTTTGTTTGAAAAAATATGTACTTTGAATATAATTACAGCATATTGTGTTTATAACTGTCAAAGTCAATACCTTAATGCTTACCTTTAACCTCTATCCTGTGGCCAGAGGGGATAGATAAGAAATAAAGAACACTATTTTTCCTTCCTGCATGCTCTTAGACATGCAAATATCTCCTTTAATAACTTTTAAATTAAAACACACCTGCATTTCATTTGCATAGCACAAGGGACTGAACATTTGTGTCCCTCCCACAATTATACGTTGAAAACTGACCCCAAAGTGATGGTATTTGGAGGTGGGGGCCATTGGGAGGTGATTAGTCCTGTGGCAGAGTCCTCAGGGAATGGGATTAATGCCCTTATAAGAAGAGGCCAGTGAAACAACCGTCTAAGGACACAGCAAAAAAACAGCCTTCTGCAACTGGCCAGAGGACCCACATCAGAAGTGGGCTGGGCTGGCCCTCCGATCTCATGCTTTCTGCCTCCAGAACTGCAGGAAATAAGGTTCTGTTGTTGAGAAGCCACCCAGTTTATAGTATTTTGTTATAACAGTCTAAGGTGACTAAGACACATAGCAACCCTCGTCTTTCTTTGGCTACTTTGTTTTACTCAAAAGAGGAAAGAGTGTGGACTCCCAGAAGGAATCCCTCAAAGCTAAGGCCATTTTAGTGTGGTAGATTAGAATGGGCCATCTCATGTCCATGCCTGGTGGCCGAGAGGAAAAAGGGAAACTCCTTGAGGAAAGAGAAATTCTCTCTGGGATGTCATAATGTCTAGTGGCTGCAAACCTTAAAATCATGAATATACTCAGAGCCTGTCATTTAAACTTTATTTCATATCTATTGTTAAATTACACAAAATCAGTGAATGGTTTGTAAAGCTACACCATTGGACAGATGTTTACAGTTGAAATCGTGGGATTTACATGATGACAAAAATGTATATTTATAACATCCCCTATGTACAATAATCAGTATAGACAGAGAAAATGCACTTCAGCTCTGCAAACCATGCACACCACAGCAGTAACACAACATGATTTTTTTGTGACAAGCTTTTCCACTGGCTCGGGCTTCATCCTGCTTTCCAACAGTACTTATCAGTTGTGAGAGCAAACATGATCGATTAAACCTAAATAAACTTGTAATACCACAGTGATATCTACAGAACCTTTATCTTAAAAACACAATGTACACAAAATAGTTGCACTCTAAAACTCTGACTTCAAGGTGTGTTTGGTTTTAATTTCCTTCCAGTTTTTCAGATCTCAGAATTCCCAGGACTGCAATACCGTTGGACAAAACAAAATTTAGATATGTTGACACAAGCTCAGAGTCAAGAAAATTTATTTTTAAAACCAAATATTCAGCTTCCTGTCCAGCTTGTGGCCATATTATTACAGATGAAACTTGAGCATGCAAATGAACAGGTTTTACAAGATGTGACTTTATGGTTACACTTCTAAGCATGTCCCTTTTGAAAAAAATGCCACTTCCAGTTGCCTTGTTTGGTTGACAGCCAGGGGGTTAGTGTGAGTCCTTACAAAAATAGCAAAACTCATAAAGTGGAAACTTCCCAGTTTCATGACGTTTGGTAGCACAATAGGTTACATACTTCATTTTGCCCTGCTCGATTCATAATTGATACCCTAAAATATTTATGCACGGACTTATGATACTAAATCGCTTTCCTCAACCCATATGCTCCTGATTCTTGATCTCAGTGCAGAACACTCTTCTTCTCTTAAAACAAAACCTGGTAGAGGGTCAACACAAAGTATGGAAGTACAGCTTCTGGAATTCCTGAATAACTCTGGCTGTCCTAATGCTTATTCTACTGTTTTCTTTCTCTTGAAATTGTCTACGATCCGTCAACAAGAAAAAGAACTAGTGGGCTAACAATAGCCAGCCCAACAGGAAACATAACAATAGAAATATACAAAAAGTAAATAACAATTCATTCACATTCAGATTCAATTTTATACGATTAAGAATAATTTCAGCAATATTTTTAGACACATTATCCCGTTCAAGAGTTTCTTGACAAGGACCTCACTACACAAACATCGATAAGACAATTCTATAGAAAGAAAATCCTGATATTAATCCAGGATTATATATCACAATAAATTCAGCAACACACCATGTAGATGATGAAGAAAGATTCTATAAATGGGTTAGTTTGGAATGAGCACAACTCGGAGAAACTTTAAAATGATTGAGAAGCAGTGCCAAAAAGATTAGAAAATTGTTGAAATTACAGTGTCCAGAAAGCATCTGGAAATTAGACCTTTGTATTGGTATTCCATTTGGGGGAAAAAAAAGCGATTTGTTTAATGTGAGATACACCCTGTTTAAAACCTTTAAACAGTAGAAGGTAGAAAAAGTTTAAAATTTTAAACATCTCTTAAATAACAAGATATGAGTCCTGTTCTACTTGAAAAGCCAATACTTTTACATAAAATTACCCATGTTTGGGAGAGAAAATTTTTATTTTCTACAGTTCGGTAAAATTTACCATCAGTTCTTATTCTGTTTAAATTGATTCCTTGTTAAAATCAGAAGAAAATAAAAGTTTCATGGTGCATTTTAGATTTTTTAGTGTTTATATTCATGTTCACCCCCCTGGAAAAAATGTTTGCTTCCAAGATTGGGTTTTTAACAGTGTATCATGAATAATTGAAAGTCCATTTCTTCGCCATAAGTTAAACGGCCACATTTTACGTTTTCATTTTGTCTCTATAACAAATTAAAGACGTCTTAAAATATCTAAACAGCAATTTCTGGTGAGTCTGGTTTGGCTTTTGGATCTTATAAATTCTCCAACAAACCCAAAAAAAGATGATTTAATTACATATTGAAATTTGTTTTACCCACGCACAGTATAACATTCAATTGAAAGGCAACTGTAAAGGCAACATCTTAACTTTTTTTGACTTCCAAACTTAAGGAAGCTGAATGTGTTTGGACACTCATGTCTTTTAAGAGATGCTCTATTTTAACTGGCGCTCTGGGAGAAGTGTGCAAAAGCCTTTGGGAGCCATCTAGCGCCATTTCTCTACACTGCCTATGTAGTCACTGGTGCCATTGCTGGCGCTGCTATCGCTCTGCTCTTGGCCTGGGCTCTGCTTCTGGCTTTCCTGGTTCTCCTTCTGGCTCGAATTCTGAGTCAGATTCTGAATCAGATTCTGAGTCACATTCTGATTTGCATTCATATTTGGGTTCTGACTCGGATGCTGACTTGGATTCTGACTCGGATTCTGGCTCTGGCCCTGGCCCTGGCTCTGGCCTTGGCCCTGGCCCTGGCTCTGGAAATGGGTCTGAAGGAACCTTCCTTTCAGAAATTTGCGTTGGTCCTGACGCTTCTGCCTAGCTTCCTGATGCTCCTTCTGCCTCATAAACTGATACCTTTGCAAAAAGAGGTCCTTTGCATAGCTGTACAATTCCATATCCAGAAAATTCAGTCCCTCAATACGCTTTTGGATTTCCTCACTGATCTCTACACTAGAGGCCCTAGTGGTATTATATTGGGTAAATGGCGAAATAAAGTTCATGTTGAAGGTTTTCTCAAACAGATACTGGGTCTTCCGTTGAAATTCAGTGAGGCCGAAGAACGCCATGTGCTTCAGATTCGATTTGGCACTTTCCAGGAGGACCTTGTTTCTTTGCTTTTCGGGCATGACAGAGAGATTGTAGCAGCCTACTAGGGTCAGGTCAGAGAGCATGCGCACCTGGCGGTTGTTGGCCAGATTATAGGGACAGTCCATGAACTCTTTCAGGGGGCAGCCAGACCAGTCATCACCAGTGTAGCAGTTGGGCAGCTCTTCGGAGGTTGGGGGCCTTCCATCACAGACATGCAGGGATGCTTTCCATGTCGCCCCTCTCTGGACATGCCTCCACTCACTCAAGTACCGGGACACTGGGTCTCGGAGGATGGTGATGTAGTGGAAGTTCCTGTGGACAAAGCACAGACAGCAGTAGTCAGGGATGTGGGTGACGTAAGTGGAGTCAGGGAGGTGCATGGCACATGTGATGTCCACTGGCTAGTAAGAAATGCAAAAGGGGAATGATGGGGATCTGGTGGCATTTGTCCTGTGAACTGTGTTGTAGTCCTCATTGGTTAAATAGGTAGCCACTTTATTTCATACCTCCTATCCCTAAAGCCCCAGTCGCTGATCATGAAATGGAGACTCAGTGGAAGCAAGTGATTTTATTGAAGTGACATGGAATTGATAAGTAAGCTCAAATTCTAATCTTTCTTACCAAACATACAAAAACACTTCCCCAGTATCCAGTCTAATCAGGATATCTTATTAAAAAACAAAACCTCATTGAAAGAGACTCTGATAGGAAGCTTTTGATTCTGACTACTGTCATAACACCACAGCTCCTAGGTTATGGGAGTGGAATGTAGAATTAGGCAGAGCAGCCCAGGGCCTCCAGAAATAGACACTGTGGTTAGTCACTGACTGAAATAGACTTGGTAGCTGCCAATGGCCCATATGCAAGCTCCTACCTTGGTTTCAGCCTTGGCTCCACGATAATAGTCCCGGTATAGGAAAGTTAACTCTATCCACTCCAAAATGTCCCTTTTCTTTACCTACTGAGAGGACACCTGGATGTCTGCAAGTTGCAGGCTTTGCTGTACGGCTTTTCTCACTTTAAAGATGCAAACTGGTAATGTTCTTTGCTCAAATAGTGGACTAGCAGACATTTAAATGACACGAGCACACACACGCCCCACCATACACAGCAGGTGCACACACACACAGCACACCCCAGAAACGTCAAGGCCTGTGATGTGATCAGGCAAACTCAAGGGGAGAAACCAACCTGGATGAACGCGGAGGTCTTGGAAGGGCACAGTGTCGAAGGTGGTAAACACTGAATATTACCATTTCGTTTCTTAAAGGAAACTTGGGGAATGGCTTGCCGCTTCTCTGAAGTTCATTCATTCCCATCAGAGGGACTGGTGGTCCTGTATACGTGCACTAGGAGCCAAAGGGGGCCAACTCAACCTCCCGAATGGCTGCGTCTATTGGCGGATGTCCTCTGAGGAAATGTTTCTCCCAAGTCTTGGGCTTTGAGCAACCTGTGCACCCTGGGAGCTGTCCTGTATGCCTCCACTCTGTGCATGGTGTTTCCTTTGCTTGGTGTGACGTGACCGTTCTTCTTTGACTGGAAAATTCTACTCATCATTTAAGTTCCAGTCCCAGTACTATCTTTCCTCCAAGAAAATCTACCCCACCCCTTGCTCCCAGCCATCACCTCCTCCTCTGTGTCACCAAGGCACTTCCACACTTAGCCTTTGTTAAGACACTTTCATTCTGAATGATAATTACTTGTTCGTAATTCTACGGTAGCTATGTTTTCCAGGACGGGGGCTCTGTGCTATTCTTCTAGAACTCTCATCCCATTCATTCTGGCTGTGTACCTTGACCTTTACACTTGACACAAAGCAGAATTTCAGGAACACCTTTAATCGTTTATGAACTATTCCAGGGAAGAGGAGAGAGAAAATTGGGAGCTGGGAAGGCCATGCTTCATCATATAAAACTCTGAATAATATTCTAAGTGCCCTGCAAAAATCACAGAAAGGTTTTAAAAAAATGCCTTATGTATTTTTCTGGAATAAACTAGCCTGGGTCACAGAACAAGCATCTGAGAGTGAGGATGAAGGCGCCAGAGCCACCTTTGCCTACCTGACTGCTTCTCCTACGACACGAGTTTGCTGGTGCCACGGAAATTCATCTATGTGAAGACCCACCGCTAATGAGTAGCAGCCTGTGTTTTTCAACGGCCTTTGCCAACAAAGGTGACTACTATTCCCATGGGCTCCCTCCTTCCACTCCTACTTTGGGTATTCGCTCATTCATTCACCTAGTATATATTATCTAGCCTTTATGCTAGGCCTGGGGCAACAACTGAGTGGCAATTAATCTGATTATTTGGAGAAGAAAGAAATTTATGAAGTCCAGTGACACATTTGGATTAATCTTTCAACTAGCTTTTCCAGGCATGCATTATAATGGGGGCTGTTGGGTATTTTAAACTCCTGTAACAGAGTCACCTTCATGCTTAGCTGCCAGTCCTGCTGCCCTGATGTGTTTTAGTGGTTTAAGCCTACAGTGACATCTCCTGGTCAATTCTAGACTGCACCGCTGTGCAGGTCTGAAGCGCTCTTTCCTTACCACTCTTCCTTGTCTTTCAGAGCAGATAGATTCCCACCACCAGGCAGGGTCAGTGTGAGGACCGACATCCCCACTGGAGAGAGACAGGGGCACCACAGAAAGGCAAAACCAGACACTCAGAGAGTTTCTCATGTTATGGACGTGTGACTCCTTCCACCTGGAGGTCTGGTGTCACAAGATGTGGACAGCCTCCATCTTTACACTGTCTCGGGATTGTCATGGCGACTGTGAAAAGATAAGAGCCTACTCCTATGCACACACGCACGCACGTGCATGTGCACACACACTGCCCTAGTAATACCAGCTACCCTCTGCGCACATGACGATGGCTCTGGAGATTCAGTGACTGTCCACAGCCCTCTTCTCGCAGGGAACATAGGCCTGAGGTCCCAGACTGCCTGAACTGGAAACACTTGATGGTGCTTGAAAAACTGATCCCATGGGTGATAAAGAAGTTCTGAGGAAGGGCAGGTCTCTAGGACTGTCTGGTGGACTGTCTCCGGGATTGCACAGCGTGCTGAGGTGGGACAGCAGATAATACCTGGGAGGTTTTGGGGAGCAAAGGATCCAGGATGCTCATTCTTCTGGGTGGAGACTTGCTAGGGAAATGTCAGCGAAAGAGCCTCCCACCCAAGGCACCTGAGGATATGAAAGCCCAAGCTGACGGGAACATGCCCAGGGAGGCAGATGGGCACAGAAACATGGGAGACGCTGGGGGTGCCAATAGGGATAGGCCACGGGAACTGAGGAGAACAACGATGTGCAGCTAATGACTGGAGCAAGGAGAAGGTGCAATGAAAGCACCTTGCAGGGATTCTTAGCCTAGCCTAGCAATATGGGAAAGAGTTAGTTTCTTAGCTTTATTTTGAAAAACAAGTAAGAATTAGATGAGGCGAGGAGACTCATGCAGCATGAGGTAGAAAGATCATGAGTACAGGCACAGAGGCATGCACCAGCCTGTTGTGTGTGGGGGAAGTACCCTGCAAACAGCTTACTGGGAATTAAAGGGCAGTGGCAGGAAGTGGGGTGAAGAGGTAGCCACAGACCTCATTGTGAAGGGCCTCAGATGCCATATTAAATGAGTTTAGACTTCAGTAGACAACTGGAAGGCCTTTGAAGGGTTTTAGGCAGGGGAATGAAATGACGAAATCTATGTTTTAGAAGGATTACTGTGTGTGGCATGTGGAGATGGAATGAGGGAAATAGTTGAGGTTACTGCAGAAAAGAAGGGGGCAGACTAGAGAAATATTTAGGAGGTAGCGATAACAAGATCTGATGACAAATGTAGGGCAGAGGAAGGAGGAGGGGCCAAGGATGCCTCCAATGTCTCGAGCTGAAAGTTCGAGGTGCCTGTGGGATGTCCAAAAGGAGTTCAGGGCACAGACCTAGCACTTAGAGAGTGATCTGGGCCTCACATAAAGGTGTGGAATTGTCAGTGCAAAGTGGTAGTTTCAGACCATGACAGACTACATCAGGACTGGTTTCTGATTCCACACGTGTGGCTTCAGAGATATGAAGACAGCATTTCAGTACCATGAGGTTTCTCTTCTTTATATTAAATATGATTTTCAACTTTTCTCTGCATTGCTTCAAGTGCCCTCAGTGTCCTCTTGTTTGCTCCTGAATATATCCCACTCTACTGGAACATGCCCTCCAGGTGTGATCTGACAAGTGACAGGTAGGGACAGTCTATCATCTCCCTCATTCTTGACACCATTTCTCTTAATGTGGCTTCATCTCACATTGGCCTTTTTGGCAGACAGTCTACACCACTGACACACAGTTCTTTCATTCTTTTACACAGATGCCATTTCGAAACCCAATCTACTTTGTCCTGGACTGATGCAATTTATTTGTGGTCCTGTTTAATTTTTTCTTCTTAGAGAAAGTCTAAGCCTGTCAAAATGCATGTGGATTGTGATTATACCCTCCAGTGTCTTCACCATATGTTCTTATTCCTCTTGGCAATGCCTGCATTTAGGCATTGACCAAAACAGAACAAGATGCAGGTGAGAGTAGGTCTGTGGTAGGTGTTAGAAACCTCCCTTCAGGTTGACATAAACCCAAAGGGTGCTGCTGAATGAACTGGTTTAATTTTTGATGAGTGAACCATGTAACATGGCTCAGCCACAGGAAAAATCACACTCAACCTTTTCCATTAGTAGTAACTGGGAGGAAATATCTTGTGACCAAATGTGTCACTTAATGAAGATTACCAAGCACCACATCTTTAAATTGGAGTCATGACTCCCCATCAGTTACTTGGGTGAATTTAATGACCATTGGCCTTTACTTCTACAAGCCCGTGATGCCTTTACAGGTAGAACACAGTGAAAGGTTTGCCCCCCTCTACAAGTCAAGGCCAACTTTTTCCTGTCATTGATAAGCAATTGTGGAAACAGCAATAGCAAGCAATGAAAGAGCTGTTCAAGCAAGAAATCTGGGGGCCATCCTTGAATCCTCTATCTCGCTCACTACCACCATCTGAACTTTCCCCAAGGCCTGCTGATTCTAGCTGTCAAATAGCTCTCAAGTCCATCCTTTCCACCACCGCCTGGGGTCAGGCCCTCATTGCTGCCATCGTGGATCACTAGCAGCATCCTGGCCCACCTCCCCACCGCCGGTCTCACACCCCTTTCACAACACCATCCTGCACTCATCTGACTTGTCATTCCCTAGTTAAGACTTCTTAACCCCTCACAGCTATGACGTGAACTCCAAGTTCTTCTACAAGCTAGATGCAGCCTTATAGGACATGGCAAC